AGACAAAAGAGTCCACATGGACCAACCTGTGGGACCATCCTTTCTGTGCCTCTGCCCTTGCCCCGAGACTTGGGGACTCAGCACCCAGTGCTCCCTGCCTCCAAAACTCCCCTCCCAGGACAGGCTGTGCCAGGGCCGGCTTCTGAGAACTATGTAAGTCTTCAAGCCAAATTCCTGGAACTTCCAGAGTAAGGTCCAGTGTGGAGGTGGGGGGCCTGTTTTCTGCTTGGTTCTGGGAAGTAGCTGGAGGGGGAGGGCAGAAGGGTAGAAAAGGCAGACCAAATACCCGTTATACCCCAGCTTGTCGATTTCCTTTTTCATCTCTTTATCAGTGTTTGCAACTGAGCTTCTTATCAACAGGAAACGCCTGCCTGAAGGGATGAGGCAGGTCCAGGGGGATTGGATGCCAGAGACTGGGAATTCTGGGTAGTGCCTTGCTGCTGGTCTGCCTGACTGAGTTGCCTTGGGATTTCCAAGATCCAGAGTCATTGCCCTGGCACCCAGTGAAGGCTACATCAGGGACCCCAGACTAGGTGTCTACAGGAGGGAGCTCCAGTGACTAAGGACAGGTCACTATAAAGTGAGGATTGTCCTGTCTTTTTTTTTTTTTTTCGAGACAGGGTTTCTCTGTGGCTTTGGAGGCTGTCCTGGAACTCGCTCTGTAGACCAGGCTGGCCTCGAACTCACAGAGATCCACCTGCCTCTGCCTCCCGAGTGCTGGGATTAAAGGCATGCGCCACCAACGCCCGGCTGACTGTCCTGTCTTTTTTTGTTGTTGTTGTTTTTCGAGACAGGGTTTCTCTGTGGCTTTGGAGGCTGTCCTGGAACTCGCTCTGTAGTCCAGGCTGGTCTCGAACTCAGAGAGATCCGCCTGCCTCTGCCTCCCAACTGACTGTCCTGTCTTAATCTCTACCAGTCCCTCTCCTTCCCAGAGGAGAGGCCAAATACCAGCCAAGGTCATAAACATCTTGGTGACAGTCATCCCAATCAGTCCTTTTGGGTGTTTGCATCTGAGCTCTTAGGCTGGTGTTAGTGACAGTCACAGCCCTGGGACAGGCATAGACTTGCTGCTGGAGGGGAGGAGGGGACTGCAGTGCAGACTTCTTCCTATCCATCAGATGCATTAAGAGATACTGTCCAGTTGGGTGGTGGTGGCGCACGCCTTTAATCCCAGCACTCGGGAGGCAGAGGCAGGCGGATCTCTGTGAGTTCGAGGCCGGGCTGGACCGACAGCCTCCAAAACAATCAGAGAAACCCTGTCTCGTAAAAAAAAAACGAGAGAGAGAGAGAGAGAGAGAGAGAGAGAGAGAGAGAGAGAGAGAGAGAGAGAGAGAGAGATACTGTCCACCACCTGAGCGTGGTGACACATGCTGGTAAACTCAATTCTTGGGGAGTTGAGGAAGGAGGGTGCAGAGTTTGAGGCCAACCTGATCACTATAGGGAGAACAGTCTAACTTCTAAACTCTGTCTTAAAAAAAAAAACAACAAAAATCATCAAATCAGGACTCTGGTGGCTCAGAGGGGTCTTCCAAGAGAGTGGCTGACTGGGGGTTAGATTTGTTGTCCTAACAAGATTACCTGGGTGCTAGCAAGGCTCTCTGGGTGGCTCAAGCCCAGCTTAATCTATTTATCTATGTAGCTGTCTTTCTCCCCCTTCTTCCAAACCGTCAGAAGACTGAACATCCAGACTAGCAGCTCTGGTAGCAGAGGCAGGAGAGCAGCCGGGACACCTGAATCCTGTACCACATTTGCTGCTGCCCGTTGCCCTTGAGCAATGAGCCGGGCTGTGGGTGATGGAGGTGATAAGGGTGCTGGCTTCTCATTGCTGTGTCTCCCTGGACAGCATCCCTGCCCCCACGTGTTCCTCCTGTGGGGATGTAGGTCAATAAGAGTGGGTGGGTGAGAAAGAACAGAAGAGACTCATCTCGGCATGACACCCCTCAGGGCAGCGGTGGCAACACTTGAACCTGGAAACTGCCTGAAAATAGACAGTGTGTCTATGACATTATGCAAATTGTATGCAAAGTCAAGAAGCCCTCTGTCTCTATTTCTAGCAACTTGAATGTGGCCCTGGTGGAGGCAGCTTGTTTCAAATGTTGCCCACCCAGAGCCTCCATCAGATGCAGCCCTGAGACACTGGACTGGGTATACACACCCCACTCTACCTCAAGGTGGGCTTTCAAAGCATGCAGATTTTGCCATCTCTTGGGCTGCTAATCATTTCTTTGTTCTTTTGTAGCCCTGGCTGGCCTCTGAAATAATTTTGTAGTTGAGGATAATCTTGAACTCCTTATCTTCCTGCCTCTACCTCCCAAGGGCTGGAATTGCAGGTGTGCATCTCTTATACCTGGCTATGGGCTGTTGATTTAATGTGAGGGATAAGCCAGAGGAAGCAGGGCACCTTCCTTACCCGCTGATGTGAGGCACGACTCTGGGAGGGTGGAGCCTGTGAAGAAAAAACTGTCCACGAAGGCCTGGGTACCAAAGGCCTTGGCAGAGGAAGCATTGAGTCTCAGTATCAGGGCTATGCTGCAAGGGCCCCCTTCACTCGGCTCTGCCTGCTGCAGCACCCTCGATTTTTATATGTAATAAGGAAGTTGGAAGCTGGGGTTTTCCGAGGAAGTCGGGGCAAAGAAGACGTATGGGTTATCTTCTCTCCAAAGCCATAGTGGGTTTGCGCATGTTCCCAAGAGCTTGGGCCACAGTGACCTCTCAAGGACTCTTCCAACAGCATGGTGAAGGGTCAGTCCTGCTGGATCCTGCCCAGCCTACATGGACATCCTGCAAGGCCGTTTCCCCAGTCCCCAAGCATACTGTGACCATTCGTGTGCCAGTGGGACCACAGGGCCTCGTGGAACCTGAAGGAGGGAAAGGTGGGAGTCTGGGAATGCTTATAGCATCCTCATCATCTAGGGGCTTCCTCCAGAGTCCTCTGGAAAGAAGGTCTTCCCTGGTGTGTGTGTCCAGTGCAGAAGGCTGCAGGTTTGGACCCACTTGGAGGCACCAAGAGTACACCAAATTGTCGATTGCAGAAGAAACTGGGGTGCCCTTCCTGTTTTCCTAAGACAGGTTCAATACCCACTTGTCAGAAAGTTTGTATTTCTGGGCTGGACAGCACCAAAAGGTACCTGTTCTCTATTTAGTAATCCACTCCTCCAGTGGCATGCTGCTCACAATTTCCTGGGTGGGGTAGGAGGGGGCATGAGTTGCTATCTGAGCTGGATAGGTTTCCAGGTAAGGAGAGCTTTTCATCTGGAGGTGGGGACTGATTCCAGACAAGGGGTGGAGAGTATCTGAGGAGGGAATTACCAACGAACTGAACAGAGAGGGGTTGAAGCCGCCTCTGAGTAAGGACGCAAAATCTCCTTTGCTAGGTGTGGCTTCCAGGCACAGTCCCTATGAGAACAACCGGGCAGAGCAGCGCATGCACCCACGCACGCACGCTGCAGTGGGGACAGGGAGGGAGGAGGGCAGGGACTTGCTGGGAGGAGCCAGCTGGCTCGGCAAGGGGAGCCTGGCGGCCTTCGGCAGCGCGTTGGCCAGCAGAGGGCGACGTGGCTGGTGTGGATCAGGTTGCTCAGTACCAGGGGTGGGATCTCAAGTTTGAACCTCAGCGCTTCTAAGCAAGGGAGCCTTCCAGAGCAGTCATGTCTAAGGACTATTTGGTGATGTGTGCTTTGGGTTCCTCTACTTCCGATCCCCTCGGGTTCTCTCGGGATCTCTGCAACTGGACCATTACGGAGGTATTAGCCTCAGAAGACTCAGGGGGCAGCTATGGTTTATTGAGGACCTACTAGATGCGCGTCATAGGCTAAATGCTCCCATAAATGGTATCTCTAAGTACGGAAAGGTGGGTTCCATTCGTATACCTACACTTAGAAGCATTTTAGAGTTAGTTGTCTCTAGAGAGCCCCTTTCCTTGCCATTTCCCTGTCACTCAACTCCATCCCTCAGACGCTCTCTACTTAGGATTTCCTAGCCCTGGTGGAGTCGCTGTCTTCAGTTTCTGGCTGTGAAATCCAAGGAGGAATTTGTTCCCAAGTTCAGTTCAGGCGGGAAGGTGATTCCCTAAATGACCACATCATACGACTCTGCCCCACTGGTCTGGGAAACGCAAGTCTACTTTCTGTTTTCATATCATTTCACTTCCTGGTTCTCCTTGGTCCTTGTACAATGCTGAGAGAGAGGCTTGAGAAAGGGCAGTGACGGGAGGACACACAACAGAGGCATCCAATGAGCTCTTGCGTTTGTGCGTGCATGTGTGTGCATGCATGGGTGTGTGTGCGCGCGCGCGTGCGTGTGTGTGTGTGTGTGAGTGTGAGTGTGTGTGTGTGTGTGTGTGTGTGTGTGTGTGTACAGAACGAGCCATCTTTTCTCCCTTCAAAGGCCAAGGGTTTCTAGGTCAGATCTTCCCAAGGTTGAGGAGAGCTTGTCTCTTGCCTGATCCCACCCTGCCCTCCGTGAGCCTTGCCTGCAGCCCACTTCTCTTCAGTCTGTCCACCCAGGCTTCAGTTTCACCTGTTCAGCACATGGGTGTACACCCTTCACCTTTCTAAATGCCAGAATTTTGGGTGTTGTTCTCGGCCAAGTTCTCCTGAGGTGCACATTCTGGAGCCCGGCTGAGGGTGTAGGCTTTGACCAGAGTCAAGGCCACAAGGGAGCAGAACCCTGGAAGCTGGAGGCTTCTTAACAGGATCCAACTTTCATTTCAGTCTTTTTTTTTTTTGGTTTTTACAAGACAGGGTTTCTCTGTATTGTTTTGGAGGCTGTCGGTCCAGCCCAGCCTCGAACTCACAGAGATCCGCCTGCCTCTGCCTCCCGAGTGCTGGGATTAAAGGCATGCGCCACCACCGCCCGGCTTCATTTCAGTCTTGAAGAGCCCAGAGGAAGCCACCCCTGAGCCCTGGAACAAAGAAGGACAAATCATGGGGGAGCCAGAGGGTTCAGTGCTGCCTGAGTCCTACGGTGGCCACTAGTACAGTTCCAGGCAAGAATAGGGATTTGGAGAGTGAACCAGGAGGCGCCTTTTAGTCTTGGACTCAGAGTTATAACACACCCCAGCTTGAGGCAAACAACCAGGGAGGAGGATGGGAGCAGTTGACAAGAGTGATGACCTAAGCTTTCACATGGGTTGAGTGTCAGTGAAGTCTCAAAGAACACCAGGGACAGATATAAGACCCTGAGATGACCAAGTCCCTGTCTATCAAACAGGGCAGTGCCGGGTCTCCTCCTCCATGCTCCACCTTCCTTCTCCTTAGAGGGCCCTCACAAGTCAGCTGGGATGTTAAGGGCACAAGGGTAGCAGGATCAGACACCACTTCTGCAGAGAGACGGGCATTGCCTAGCCAGGGGTCTAGTCAGGAAGACTGAAGTCAGGAAGACTGAAGTGATCAGACCCACAGTGAGAAACTGAGGCTGCTGCGTATCTTCCACTGAGCCCTGGCAGGATGGAGTGTCTGCTGAAGCTGGGCAGGGCCCCGTGCCATCCTGGCAGCTCCAGTCGGGCGGTAAGGTTGAGCGAGGGGAGAGTGCAAGCCCAGGATCCAGGCCCGGGATTCCCTGGCTTGGCTACCCTGCCCTGGGAGTGGTAGGGGTGTACCCTGCTGGCCCTGGGGATGGGAGACCAGCCAGGCGTCAGAGAGCCGGCCACTCTGAGCAGGCTAGACAGAGGCAGATCGAATTTCAGCCCAGCTGTATTTTTGGCTGGATGGGCTGGGGGCCAAGCTGGGCAGGCACACAGGGCAGTGTGCACTCTCATACTCTCTCTACCCAGAGAGGGTATGTCTTCTGTCCCATCACACACTTCAGGAAGAGGAAGTCCGGTGACCCTAGGCTAGTGAATTGCTTTGGGTTTCTCTGGGCTGTGGCTGAGCTTCTGCAAGGTCTTCTTGATGCGCAGTGCAGTGAGGCGAGCAGAGGGGTTTGGGTACCAGCACTCCCGCATCATCTGGGCCAGCCCGGAGAGGACCTGGGGCGTTGAGAGACAGGCAGAGGAAGAGATACATCGGTCAGGAGGATGGAAGGGAGGCCCAGGGCGAGGAGGAAATGGCTCAGATGGGAGACATAGAAGGAGAAAGGATGGGACAGCAGAGTGTCGGACAGGAGGGAGGAAGACAAGGCAAGAGAGAGAACAGAGGGGAGAAGGTAAGGGTGGGGAGGGGAGGGTACATGAAAGAGAAAGAATAGAAAGCCAGCCGGAGAGAGCGTGGAGGGTGTGGAGTTTCCAGAGTCCACCCCGTGAACAACCTGGGAGCAGGCCCTGGCTCCACCCCCACCTCTTGCAGGATCCACTATGAAGGGTGTTTCTGCAGCCTGTGTTGCCTTTTGCAGTCTGAGACCTGGTGCACAGGGCACTGTGGCTGAGAGTATGGCAATGGTGGGCACTGCCCCAAAAGTGCCTGTGTTAGAAAGGAGCCTATCCCAAGAAGCTCAGTGGCCCTTGGATATGGCAGCCTGACTCCTCTGCTTCCTAAGAGTCAATACATGTGTGTTCAGGAATGCATCTATGTGGCCTCTTATGTGTACACGCACATGTTTATTATCTTTCAGTAAAAATGCATTGAGTTTTAGTGTGTACCGCGTGCTAAAGCAGCTGGTGGGAATATGAGAGTAAGAGGGGACCTTCATGGAAAGGAGGGCTGAGTGGGGGCAGTATGAGAGGATACTGAGGTGGATGTAGTCAAAATATATGTTTGTATGAAATTGAAAGAAGAAATTCATCTTGGGGGTTTTGCTTCGGTTTGTTTGTTTGTTTGAGACAGGATTTCTCTATGCCATCTTGGCTGTCCTGGAACTTGCTCTGTGGACTAGGCTGGCCTCAAACTCTGCAGATCTGCCTGTCTCTGCCTTCTGAGTGCTGGGATTAAAGCCTGTGCTGCCACACCCAGCTATTTTTATTTGAAGATTTATTTATTTATTTATTTATTTATTTATTTATTTATTATGCAGTGTTCTGCCTGCACACCAGAAGAGGGCACCAGATTTCATTACAAATGGTTGAGAGCCACCATATGGTTGCTGGGAATTGAACTCAAGATCTCTGGAAGATCATCCAGTGCTCCTAACTTCTGAGCCATCTCTCCAGCCCTACACCCAGCTCTTAAAGTGATTTTTAAAGGGCTACATAGTAAGACTACTGTCTCAAAAACAAAACAAGCTAAAAAGCAGAATTTTTTCCCTCATGGTGCCAAGAGTCTGCCTACATGTGTGTACATGTCTGAGAATAAGTGTTTAGAAGCATATGTGTATGTGTGTTTTATGTATACATGTATTGCTTTGTGTAAGTGTGCATTGTCTTGAAAAATAAAAATCAACAACATAAACCTGATAGGAGAAATTTAACTGAGGCCCTCTGATTCCCACAGGTAAGGTAAGAGATTCTAAAAAAAAAAATCTTAGATTGGTCAGAATGTCCAAGAAGGGTGATGTACCTACAAGCCAGGTATAAGAGGGGGGGAACACCCAGGATACCCAAGATCCATCCAAAAAGCACAGGCTACAGAGTCAAGATCCTGAACCCAGGAATCCCAGCTGAGAACCAACCCCCACCCATGCCAGCCCAGCCCCAGCAGAGGCCTTACCGGATCTGCAGCCAGCCGGTTAGGAATGGTGGGGGTCTGCTGGTCAATGCATACCACCTTTTTCATATCTTCAAAGCTGGGGTCATTAGGTACCATATCATAGAAGGGTGGCCTGTAATCCTCCACAATGCCTGAGGGTTCAAGGGGGATAGAGCCATCACTTGGGACTTAAGGAAACCAAATAGCACCCAGAGGACAACTTTTCCGGCCTCTGTCCCAAGGGACCTGGAGCTAGCTGCCTGACCATATTGCTCTCTAGAGGGATCCTATTCTGCAACATAACAACTGTATGAATTCCACAGAATTACTGTGTATGTTGTACTTCCCAGGTGGTGTTTGCCTTAATAAGCACATCACATGTGTTCCCATTAGTCCTCATGGTAGCTCCCCGCTGTACGTAGCATACCAAGCATGTCACAGAAGAGACTCGGGCTAAGAAGCACCGGACTCAGGTTGTCTAGCTAGTTAGTCACAGCAGACTCAGGACTTAAAACCATCTTGCTAGCTTCCTAGGCTGGATCTCATTTCCATCTTCCTCAGCTGTCTTCCATCCTGGGCCTGGGTACCACTCCTTGACTACACTAAGATCTGGTGTTCCAGAGCATGTCTTGTGTGCCAGGCAGGGTCCTTGGCACTCTGCATAGGATCCTCACATCAGCCTATGGGGCTGTAACACTAACTCCTCTTTGTCAACCAGACAGTGACTTGTCTCTAAGGATCGGCAGGTAGTGAGTGACAGAGGTGGGACATACGGCGAAATCCGACACCAGATCCCGTGCTTCTGACCTCTCAGCTGCATCTCAGGTAGGACTGGAACAGGGACAAAGGACAGAAAAAACGCCTCTCCTAAGAGGAAACGACCTACCCCCGGTCCATATATCTACTCACCATCAGGGAAAGCTCATGTCTCTGCCAGCAGTGTCCCCACCCCGTGGTCACCTAAATAGGAGCCTTGCTGAAAGGTGTGCCTGGGGCAGTGCCGTGCCTCTCCCTGCTTCCCAACCCCAGGCTGCCTCTGTGACCATGTAGGCCACAACTTCAATGAAGCCTTTACCAGCTGTTCTCCCCATGGCGGACTTCCAGGCCGCCCCTGTGCTGCTGGCGTCCTAATCAGCGATCTGCAGAGGCCTGAGCGTGTCTAATGAGTCTTTAATCAGTGCCGGGGCTGACACCAGATTACAGTGTTTATAATGCGCTTGGAGTCTGCATGGGGCTGACAGAGCTTCCCCTCCGCCCCAGCAGCCCAAGGCCAGTCCACCAGCCCTTCCTTTCCTGCCTGCAGCCAGGCCTAAGGGTTCTTTGATTTCATCGAGGTGCCCCTTTCCCAGCTCCTGCCTCACAGAGCTGACTCTGGAGGTTCATGCCCAGGGATCAGAACCCCTGGGAGACTCTAGGAGAGACTGGTGACACCTGGGTCTCTGCTGTCAACAGATGACCGCTGAGGAACAATGCAGTTGCAAAAGGCTGGCTCCTGGTAGATGCTCAGGAAACTAAGGCATCTCTGCTCCCAAGGAGCAGGGTTCAAGTCTGGCCTGGGGCTTGTCCTGAACTTGCAGGACTCCTGGCAACCCTGGTCATAGGCAGCATCCATGAAAGCTAACACTGCAGCAGCTAGCTGTCCAGTCAACCCATCTGGTAGTGGTAGTGGTCTTCCATCTACCCCAGGACTGAGAGGCCATCAACCCCAGGGCTGCACAGGGCAGGCAGATGCCTTTCCAAGTTAGGGCCTCCCATGGCAATCAACTGGAAAAAATGAGGCTGCCATAAGCCCAGATACCAGATAGCTTACATGGGAGCAAAGGAATCAAGGGTCAACATATAATTTCCACAGTGACAGAGGGCACTGGACCAGAATCAGGTGGCCTGTCTTTAGACCTGATACTGCCTCTGGGCAGCTATAAACCTAGATTCTTCTTTTATAAAATAGAATATTATGTAGGCACCATGATGACCACTAAAATTTAATTCTAGGTACTGTTTTCTGTTTTGCTTCTTTCATTCTTTTTTTGGGGGAGTGGGGGCAGGGTCTCTCTGTGTAGGCCTGACTGATCTAAAATTTACTATTTATATGGACCAGGCTGACCTTGAACTTGGAGCAATTCTTCTGCCTCCTAAGTACTGAGTGTGGGCCACTAAGCCCAGCTTCTAGATATTGTTCTAGAATATTATATTCATCTGTGTGATTATAGCTTTTTAAAAAAATTCTAATGTCACAAATGAGGAAGCAGATACAGAGAGGCTAAAGCACTCACTGTCATAACAAAACCTGAAACCGAGTCTAGGCAATCCAACTGACCAATGCCTCCTACTAAACGGAGACTTCAATAAGACAAAACCTTCAGAGTATGTGTTGTGGCACATAGTTAAGCTCAATAAATGCTAGCTTAGCTGCTTCCATGACCCACCCCAACCCCATGCTCAGTATTGAAACCCATGGCCTTGAACATGCTAGCCAGGCATCCTACCGCTGAGCCATAGCCCCAGCTCTGGTATTTATGGGATTTTGTTTGTTTCTATCTGAAGTCTTCGAGGCTAGATCCATACCCTCACAGGCCCAGATGAATGTTAAAAGTCCATCTGTGTTGAACTAGTTGATACACAGCAGTTAAGGAATGCTGGGAGATCTAGTCTCAAACCCTCAGGTCACAGGCACCAGCCCCCATTAGGAAGCCCAGTCTCTAACACACACACACACACACACATACACACACACACCCCTGCACATGGTGGGCCCTCACCATTGATGATGGTCCTCCGGGCGATCTCCCACAGCACTAGGCCAAAGGCCCACACGTCTGTCCACTTGTACGACTCAAAGCAGTCTGTTCGGATCTGTTCATCCAGCACCTCGGGTGCCATGTACCTCTTGGTACCCACTCGGGGGTTGTTGCCAATGTCCAGGTAATCACTACTCTGGGAATGCATCACAGCCAGTCCTGTGGGTATTTGACACGTCAGTCCTCCAGGACTCCCACAGAGGGCAGCCACTCCCATATTGGGAAGCCCGGGCTAGAGACAGATGCAGTGAGCATGGGGACAGGTAGACACAGGGCAACGGAGACCTGCCCTGAGACGGGCTGGACTACAGACAGGCCAGAGGGAGAGCATCGGTCTCATGTACTCTTTGCTTGATAGCATTCTCAGGGCTCCCAGGACCCAACAGGGCAAAGTAGGCATTATGATGCCCAGTTGACATAGTAGAACTTGGAGGTGGGTTAGAAGGAGTTGTGTTCTCAGAGAAGTCAGGGTGAGACACAGGTTCCCACCTCCCTGTGCCTTTTCTGGGTGGTGAAGTCTAGACCGGAAACAATTTATTTGTTGTAGCCCTGGAGCTCACTCTGTAGACCAGGCTAGCCTCTGACCCTGAGATCCATCTGCCTCTCTCAGCTTGGAAACAGGGTTTAAAGCGCTAATTCTCTCCCCCCCCAGAAACAGGCGGAGCTGAGCATACAAGCCCCGCCCACCTGTGGAGCTCCACCCCTCCCCTCCTGCTCACCCAGGTCTGCAATGCAACATTGCAAGTTGTTCTTGACCAGCACATTGCGGCTCTTGAGGTCACGATGGGCGATGGCTGGTTTGCCTTGAGTGCCAAAGATCTCTACATGGAGGTGTGCCAGGCCGCAGGCCGCGGACACGGCTAACCTTAGGGCCAACTGGGGCTCCAGTGTCTGCCTCTGCAGGAAGTCGTAGAGGGAGCCGTGTTCGTGGTAGTGGGTGATGAGCCACAGCTGCGTGCTTGAGTTGCGCGAGGTCATGTCGGAGGCGATGAAGCCTGTAGGTAAAAGGGTGTGATTCGGTCAAAGCACCGAGGAGGAAGGAATGGCTGAGGGAAACCTAGGGCCGAGGGGCTCAAAGGGGCTGGGGCAGAGACTGATGATGTGGCTGGAGTCAGAGGTTAAGGTTAAAAAAGACCTGTGAGTCACTCAGGGTTAGATGGATTCCCAGAGTTCTGTGTATTCCAGCCCTGAGCTAAGGGGGTTGGGACACCTAGGCCTGGAATAGCAAACATGTCCCCTCCTTGCCTAGGATGTTGTCGTGCCTAAGCAAAACTGTGTTGTAGATCTCTGTCTCCCGGAACCAGGACTGTTCATCTCTCGAGGAGAAAATCTTGACCGCCACACTCTCGCCGTGCCATGAACCACGCCACACCTCGCCATATCGGCCTTTTCCTAGTCCAATGACCAAGGGAAGAGCAAGGGTCACACACTAGATGCACACACAGTTCTAGAAATCCCACCCCCAACTCTGGATGCTACAAAGACCCCTTCTGCAAACCTGAATTTATTTATTTATTTTTACTTTATTTTTTTTTTAAAGACAAGATCTCACTGTGTGTCACTGGCCAACTTGGAACTTGCCATATAGACCAGGCTGGCCTTGAACTCACAGAAATCTACCTGCCTTTGCCTCCTGAATGCTAGGATTAAAGGCATGAGCCACCACATCCAGCTTTTAATTTTTTTGGTTTTTCGAGACAGGGTTTCTCTGTGGCTTTGAAGGCTGTCCTGGAACTAACTCTTTGTAGACCAGGCTGGCCTCGAACTCACAGAGATCCACCTGCCTCTGCCTCCCCAGTGCTGGGATTAAAGGTGTGCACCACCAACGCCCAGCCAGCTTTTAATTTTTTAAATTACATTTACTTATTTGTGTGTGTGCATGTGTGCAAAAATGCTGACTAGGATCACATATGGCAGTCAAAGGATGACTATGGGAGACAGTTTTCTCTTTTCACCAAGTGCCCACCAGGGAGTAGATTCAGGTCATTGGGCTTGGTAGCACGTACCTTCACCTTCTGAGGCATCTTGCTTTCCCCCAAACTCGAATTTATACGTAACTTAATCCATACCCTGGCCCATCTTTGGGCTACCCTTAGCTTATCATCTCATAACTTTGCTTGCCCATAACGAACCTTGGCCCATAACCAACCCACTCTCTGCCCAGTGGAATCCCTTATTCTGGCTCAGCCTGAACTTTTTGGTCCCCATCCCTGGCTCACTCACTGCTTACCCACACACTCCACCAGTGCAACCTGCCGGGCTACTGTCCTCTGCACCAGGAAGGGGAGTCCAGAGCCACTGCCTGTGGTGCAGTCGCTGTCCAGGAAGTCCTAGGGATACCAAGTAGGCTCTGAGTGGCTGGCCCCACCAGCCACCGCCCCCTTCCCCATTCCCTGCCACTGTCCCACTGCTTGGTTCTCACTGTCGTCTTTGGGTGACCCCCCGATGCTGCTGCTCCACCCTCCACCCTGGGTCCCAGGTTGTTTCCAGGCCCATACCCCCAACATGCTGTCTCCCTGTTCGGATGCCTTCAGGATGAGGCTGGACTCGCCCAGGTCACTGTGCAGACCCCGCTGCTTCTCCTGCCTTCGCCGGACACGCCACAAGCCCAGAGCACCCAAGGCCAGCAGGACCAGAAAGGCCAGCACGGGACCCAAGATCAGAGGCAGCTGGGCATCTCCTTCTGGCTCCTCCGAAGGAGTCTGGGTGGCTGGGGGATGGGGACACTGAGTCCCAACTCCACCAGGCCAGCTCTCCTGACCCTAAGCCAGACCCCTCCGACAGTTATATCCCAGCATCCCACCTCCCCACACCCTCTCTGTAAGGGAGGGGAGGGGCGGTGAGGAGAACACGGGGCAGAGAGGACAGGGTCTAGGAAGATGGGGGGGGGGGAGTGGAAGAGCCTCAGAACGTACCCTCCAGCACCAGGGACACATTGTGGTTGCAGAAGGATCGATAGCAGCAGTGATGGTTGACAAATTCTGTGGGGCGTCCCAAGCAGAGCTCCTGGTTCATGTTCCCGCAGCCCCGATAGACCTGGGGGTGCCCGCCTTGCTCACGAACCAGCACCACTGTGCACCATGCCCCCTGGCACGTTGGCCTCTTGCAGTGCGGGCTCTCACAGGTGCAGTTCACCAGCTGATCCCTGGAGGCCTTCACCACGCCTCCTGGGAGACACGTGAGAAATTCAGGCACTCTGAGGAGACTAGCCACTTCCTCCTACTGTCCATCCCGTCTGATCTCACAAAGCTCTCAAGCCTAGGTCCTTTAATTCTATCCCTTTCCTGTTCTTCCCTCAGATCCTTGCCCCTAGCTACACAGGCAGCGGAGACTTCGAGAAGCCCGCTTTTGTCTACTGCCTGGGCTGGGACCTCCTCTCCCTGCCTCAGGTTCTTCCCTGGTCCAGGGCTCTGTGTTCACACCCCTACCTCCTCCACCCAAGATGCAGATTCCATCCTGCAAGGAACAAATCAGTATCAAAAAGATAAAAGGGAGGGTCAGAGCAGCCAGGGAACTAGCCAGTCTATAGAGTCTACAGCCTACCCTCCAGCCAGGCTCATGTTCTCAGCTCCTCGGATCCAGCCCCGGCAGAAGCTGAGCTCAGCCTGGATAGCCTTCCTCCATTCAGGTCCCTGTTTCCACACTGCTCCTCCCATACTCACCCTTGGTTAGGCCCAAGGCCACCAGCAGCATCAGAAGGGCCTTTCTGGGGATTTCCGAGGTCATGGTCCTTGGAGATAGGAGAAGAGATGCGGTGAGATCTGCAAAATATGACAGCTGTGGTGACCAAGGTCCCCTCCTACCAGGAGGAAATCACTGGGAGTTTTTTGGGGGGAAGGCAGGGAAGCCACCTCCCCACTCCTACGTCAGGATTTAGGGCAGGGCCTGCAAGGGAAGTCCTGCTTCACTTCCCCATGGAAACCATCTGTTGGGGGTGAAGGGTGAAGAGCAGTGTTTAAATGATGAGAGCCAAAGGGGACCCCAGCTCTGTGCCCCACTGCTGGGTTCAGACAGCAGCAGACAGGGGCAGGGGCAGAAGGCACAGCTACAGTGGAAAGTGCCTTTCCTAGCTCCCCTCTGTCCTCTGCCACTTGCCAACCCCTCCAGCCTCCACCCCTGCCCACCCTTTCCCAGTGCCCCTCCACCCCCCACCCATGCCTGGCTGCCTCAAACATAAACAGGCTCCTGTCTTCACTTCCTGCCATTCAGGGTCCCGCCAGACCGGCAACAGGAATCAAGATTGTTTAGATTGAGGTCTGGATAGGACAGGCTGGAGTCACGCACAGCAGGGAGCCAGGGCAGGCTGGGAGAAGGACTCTAAGGGGGCCACCTGAAGCTGGGACCTTAGGAACCATCAACCCCAGCTCCGGTTTTGTAATGTTTTAAAATTTTTATTAGTTATTATTTTGTCTGCATTTAAGGGCCCGAGTGCCAAGTGTGTAGGTCAGAGGGCAAGTCTGTGGAGTTGGTTCTCTCCCTCTACCTTAACATGGGTTGGGTTTGGGGAATCAAACTCAGGTTACCAAGCTCATGTGGCAAGCATCATTAGCTGTTTAACCATCTCTCTGTCCCCCTCCCCTCCCAGCTCTGGTTTTAGAAGAGGAAGTAAGGCTTATGGGGGGGGGGGACTCTCCAAGCTGCCTAAGAATTCTCTGGCAGTAACAGGAGTCCAACACAGGAGTCTAGAACCCCCTCCCACACTGGTTCTTCTTCTCTGTGTCCTGAGTCAGTGGGGCAGGCCCTGCCTGCATCCTCAGGCTTGTAGCAGCCAGGCACAGACTGAGAGTGCTGAGAGGTAGGGTCTTCCCCGCTCAGAGCCATCTGGGCCCCCTTCTGTCTTCTTGTCCTGGGAAAGGGTGGGGGAGGGCCAGTGGTATAGGAAGTGAAACACACTTGGGCACTGAATGTTTGACCTTACAAAGTTGCCTGGGGCTTGACTTCTCAGAAGCTTGGTGAACACTGGTAAGAGGAGTGAGTATGGCGTATGACAGCCGGGAACTCGGGACCCAAATCAGCTAGGTCTTTAGGAGCTGCCTCAGTTTTCACTTCTCAAAGCCTCAGGACCAGAGGGTAGATGCTGAGGGTGCAGCAAGAGGGAAAGGGGCCAGACAGAAACACAGACTGTCTAGACGGCAGAGTGTACAGGCTGGATGCCCAGCTAGGGGAGCTAATACAAGGAGCATCCTGCCATAAGACTTGAGAAGGCTGGACATACGTGTCCTGAGATGTGTCATGAGAGGTGCTGGACATACGTGTGCTGTGATAAGACATGAGAAGGGCTGGAAATATGTGTCCTGAGATGTGTCATGACAAGTGCTGGACATACGTGTCCTGAGATGTGTCATGAGAAGGACTGGACATACGTGTCCTGAGATGTGTCATGACAAGTGCTGGACATACATGTGCTGTGATGTGTCATGAGAGGTGCTGGACATGGTGTCCTGTGATATGACAGGAGAAGGGCTGGATATACAGTCACATACAGACTACAGAGCCCCGTGTTCTAATTTTGGTACCAAACGTAGACCCAAGATGCTGAGGCTTTGGGAGCAGGATGTCTAGTGTCAGGCTGGGGGGCTTGGTGGGCCTTTCTGGCTAGTGGCAGCTCTGGCCTTCCTGCCTGGGTTTCCTCTGCTCCAGAGGCCCAGTCTGGGAGAGGAAATAGAGACCTGGGCTGCTGCAGCTGTGTCCCAGCCTCTGGCTGACCTCCTGCCTCTTGCCCCTGCTAGAAGCCAGTTAGGACTCTGATAAGCACTCTTCAGGGGTCCTGGGGATGAATGCAGAGGGCATGTCACAAGGCCATGGGCAGGAAGCCATCATTGGCAGACTTCACCTGCCCAGAAAGTAGCTAAGGAGAGGCCACGAGGTGGGAAATGGCTAGCAGCAAGACATCCTTCTGGGACATGATACCAAATGTCCACCTGCCCACCTGCCTGCACGTATCCCTTGCCTCTCTACAGAACATCAGAACCTTGGGTTAGCTACGTAGATCACTTGGTCTGTCACCCATTTCAGGCTCCTATTCAGTCTGTTTGAGACCAGCTTTGGGCAGGGGACAGTGGTAATGTGCCTGTGATCTAGCACATTCTGAAGGCTGAGACTGGAGGATGGGGAATACCAAATGAAGACTTAAGATGCTGGGGCCAGCCTCAGTTACATTAATAAGACCATGACTCCAAAAAATCAAGAAAGAAGGGGATTTTAGAAAAAAGAAGAAAAGCGTGTATTTGTAAACAGTTCCCCAGGGAATTCTGATCCTTCTGGGTGTGCACCAGGCTCTGACAAAGTGTCTGGCACAGAGCCAATCCTGTCTCCTGTGCATTCATTCACTTCACAGGGCATTGCTGTGTGGATGGACCTGGGTCACAGAGGGAAGGGACTCTTAGTTTCTCCAGGTGCCTCCCCATCTCTGTGGGAAGAAAGAGAGTGACACAAGACCAGGGACTTGGTGACACTGTGGCGTGAGGGTAAGCATGGGTGTAGGAGAAATGATTCAGTTCTAAACAGCAGCATAGGTGAAGGCTAGTAGTAATGTAGAACTCACTCCTGGTCCAGCCCTGGAATGTGATGGCACTAACCGAGTCCCATCTCAGGTGAAGCCCTGTGTTAAAGCTCTGTGCCAGGCATTAAGCTTTAGTGGTTTGTCTCTTCGAAGCCTCACAACACTCCTCCAGGAATGCTGAATATGACTGGGTAAACCTAAGCGGCCAACAGCAAATCCTTCCTCAACCATTGCCATTCGTCTGTTTGTCTGGCGTCAGGGACAAAGGTATTTTGGGTCTCAGCAGACATAAGCAATGTGTCCCCCAGTGTCATTGACGGGTGCCCTCCTCAGGTCCCATTGCACAGTGTGGTCGTTTATCTGTCCATCACCAGTGTCTGAGCCTCAGGCCCAGAGAGGAGTGTGCCTGCATGGTGGCTGTCAATCTTTTTCCTGATTCCACGAGTGTGCCTGGATGGTGGCTGTCAATCTTTTTCCTGATTCCACTAGCAGCAGGGTTTTCCCATACTGACTGTCCCAAGGCAGAAAGAACCGTGCTGCGATAAACTGACCGTCTTCCACATTCAGCGCTCACTGGGCCTCACTCCCCTGCATTTTCTATTAACTCTGCAGTGGTGGGATCTCACAGAACCAGCCTAGGTTTCAGAGTCTTAGGCATCTGCAAAGTGGCACAGGGCAATGGTACCCCTCATCTGAGGCAATGCATCCCCAAACCACCCTGGGTATATGAACCCACGGACTGCATTTCCCGTTCCTCTCTACTTACAACATACCCATACTAAAGTTTAATTTGTATATCAGGCACAGACGACACTAATAAGAAAATACAACAACTATGATAGTCTACTTTGTCTTTCTACTGAAAGAAGCATCTTTACCTTCTCCGGGGTGTGTCTGGACCGCCAGCGCCGCTGCGTTTGCACTTCGGGCCACTGCTAAGTGAAATAAAGGGTACTGGAGCATAAGCACAGAAATACACCGTCCACCTGATAACCCTGACAGCTGCTAGGTGACTAATAGGCGAGTAGCGTATACAGCATGCATACACACATGCGAGGAAGAGATGATTCATGTGACAGATGAGATGGACGAGATAACACGAGATTTTACTACTCTCTGGAGACGCTATGGGTTTAAACCTTTAAAACCCCCTTGTTTCCGGAAGTGCGCAAGAACTATTTTCACACCACAGTTGATTGTGTGCGACTGAAATCCCCAGCAGGGAAACTGCAGATAGGGGAGACTCCTATGGAGTATAGGGGTCAACATACCAGCTCTGACCAAGTCTAGCCTCTACTACCTACAGCTATGGAATTGGCGTAAGAAGAATGCCATTTCCCAGGTAAATGTACAAGAGTTACTTGGCAGTTTACCTAGTGGCACGAAAAATGCACTTAGTGTTACTCAAAGTTCAACCACATCCAGGTGTGACGGCATGCACAGGACTCAGGGGCCTCCTGAGGCAGGGGAATTGAGAATCTGAGCCCAGGTCTTTCTCAAAAAGAACAACCCAGCCATGATGTCTCCTGGTGTCATTGACCAAAGCTTGGAGTGGGCCTCTCTCCTACAAGTAGCGCCCAATGATCTCCCATCAGATAGGTTGCGTGGGAAAAACCACATACTACACAGAAGATAACTGAGAAGACAGGTGGGGGACAAACAGAAGTGAAGGGAGGAGAGGACAGACCCCGAGGACAGATGGAGTAGTGAGGGGTCAGGGAGGGCCCGTCCTGACTCTAACTCTAACTGAGGCTGCTCATAAACAGAGGAATGTGTCTACCAAGGAAGGCCCTAGAATGCAGCCAGCCTGAGGATCCTCTCCAGGACAGACTGACAGCCTGGGATCCCAGCCTGGGGAAGGGCTAGGATTCCCCTTATCCTGGATGTAAAGGACACTCACAGCAGGAGAATTCTGTGACCTTCTAGGGCTAGAGGTAAGATTTGGGATACGGTCCTTGTAATGACAAGTTCCTTAAGCAAGAGCTGGTCTGGAAAATGTGGGCTCTATAAGGAGTTTCAACAGCATGGAAAGTCACCCCTAGGTTAACCCAGCACCCTGGAGGGACATGGGAGCTCAGCTCCATGGGGGAAGAATCCTTTGGCCCATTTTATTTTCACAGATAAGCATAGAAGAGAGAGTCGGGGCTGGGGAAGAGAAGTTAAAGGCCTCAGGACACCTAGAAAGAGTTAAAGTTTTCCATTCTACATCCAGATTCATCCAGCTCCCTCTCAGTCTCAGGTGGCATAACAGGCAGGCAGGTGTGTGTCCACACCAGGGAACTGCTGGCCCTCTTGTCCAGCTAAAACTGACCCTCCCCTACGCACGGATCTCAGAGATCTCCGAAGGAAAGGTCCACTGAGACCAGGAACAGATCGCCTGGCTCGGCCCAACGCGACCTCTACTCACCTTTGGACAGGCGGTGGCACCCCCGCCTCTCCTTCCCAGACGCGGCCGGGGTCTCACGTTCAGAGTCGGTCTGGGACCAGGGAAGGGCTCGATTCGCGCGGCTGCCGCTGCGGCCTCCCGGGACTGGAAAGGGGCTGGAGCAAAAATGTTTCTTATTCTAGCTTCTTCCTGCCTGGCCCGACTCCACCACTCCCTCCTAATAGCCTGTTTCCTATTGCCCAGCACGCCTCCCCGCCGCAGGGCTTGCTGCTCCAGAAGGCTATAGACCCCAGTGCGGCCGTCCCAGCCCCTCTCCCCGAAGGGGCGGGCCTCGAACCCGATTCTTGGGGTTCTGTGGGTCCCAGGAAGGGAGGCGCGACCCTGGACCCAGAAAGGGGATGAGGGTAGCTCACACCGAGAGGCAGAAACCTGGATTCCCGGCTCAGGAGATAGCGGGGTGGGCACCAGGGAGGGACCTGCGCAAGGTATCAGCCAAGGTACCTGTCCTTACCCACATCACTCCAGGTTCTCGGGTGTCTGAGAAACAGGGCAGTAAGAGCTGAGTTTGGGCTGGGAGGGTCTGGTCAAAATTGGCTCCGCCCTTTGGGACTCCCCAGTTGTCCTAAATCTTTCTGCCTCCAAGCTCCAGCCCTGTCAACCTTAATGCATAATCCCCTTCCCTCTTCTGCAGTCCTGCCCATCAGTATTCATCCTAGAGCTAAAGAGGTCTGGATTGGTCCAGATAGGTCGGTTCTGAGTCAGTCTGATCTGAGCCCCTTAGGGCTTGGCAGTTGCCCTCTCCTTCGGGGGAGGACAGACCAAAGGATCCTGGGCTGAGAGGTGGGGGTGGGCCACCACCAGGTAGATGGGCTTTAGAATTTAGGGCATGGAGCCTCCTGAGGCTGGGACATGCAGCTGGGGAATGGGGAGGAAGGGCTCGCACTGTGTGGTGATGACACAGTCTTCCTCCTGACCCCACTGTACAGACCGGCAGTGTGGGTTAAAGTCTAGGCCTTCCTCGGCAGGACCTGACTTTTATTCTTAGCCTTGTGAGTATTCACACCGACTCTAAAGCACATCGACCAACTGGGAATCCAGGATAGTTGCTGTGACCCTAGTTACTCCTCCAGGGCTTCAGTCCCCTGTGCTAATGAGCTTGGTACACAGAGGACCATCCCTCAAACAAAGATGGCGCCTATCTCAGTTCCTCAGGCTGAGGCTCTGGCAGGAATAGAGGCTGGGGGAGACAATGGCCAGCTGCTCAGACTGACATCACTTCCTCTGCTGACACCCCCCTAATACACTGCCACAGCTTCTTGAATGGGGAGTCTCCTGGATTTCCAGAACCCCAGCACAACTGAAGTTTAGCATCAGAACAGACTGTGGTCCAGGCAATAGGAGTACCGCCACGGGATCATGGTATCTGCTTTTCCAGGTTGTAGAGGCCTCTTTGTCACACTCTATTAGCTACAGAACTGGGAGCCTGGCTACTTGGCCATCTTCACTTCCACTCTTCCTCCTGCCTGCTGTGGCTTGCAGCCAACCTCTCTCACTCTCCAGCCTACATTTCTCTGTCTTAAGGAGTGGGAGTGAGGGCTTTGGGGCAGGACCCATGGGACCTCCGTAGCCTGAGTCCAAGGCCTGCCTGCTTGGGAAGGCGGATCTAGGAGACCATGAGTGAGGTCGAGAGCTCCGTAGCGGCTGGTGATCATCTGTGAGGATGGGAGAGCTTCTGTGGGCAGGCCATGAAGCAGAACAGAAAGAAGTTTAGGAGGTAGAAAAGAAGGTGTGGTTAGGGGTGGCGTCTCCCCCTCCTCTCAGCCTTCTGGACACTGGCCGGTGCATTAGCAGTTCTTGTGAACCCAAGCCTCCCACAGTGCACAGGGAACCTAGGGTGTGGGTGTTAGAGGAGGACACAGAGCTGGAGAAAGCACTAGGGCCTCAGGCCAATGAGAACATAGAACAGGAATTACAGGCTGTGTCCAAGTCTACAAGAATTCGTTGCTCACAGGGCCCAGCTGTTCCCCACATTCGGCAAGAACAGAATGAGAGGAAACAGGCCCAAAGAATTCTGATTGAGATTTTTGAGGCCAGAAGGGTTTCCCAGCAGGGCTTGAAGCAGAGTTCTACATATCCTCCAGGAGTGAGCAGAACTTCAAGGTGGTCCTTTTTGGTGGCAATTGACAATGGATTTGATGTGGTGGCAGGGCAATGAACATTTTAGGGCCAACTTGGTGCATTAAGTTCTTAACTGTGGGGTTTGTTTGTTTATTTGTTTGTTTGGGAAAGATCCCTAAAATCCTAGGCTGGCCTTGAACATGAGATCTTGTTGTTGCCACTTTCCCAGAGCTAGGATTCCAGGTGCTTGCCCCATACTTAGATCAAGCTTCTCTCTGGAGAGAGACCAAGGCCAGGCATGCACAGACATTCAGGACCCCATGCTTGACTTAATGTTCTTCTGCTGCCATCTTGAAATTCTTTATAATATTCTTAGTGGTGTTTGTACAAAGGACATACAATTTTTGCTTTGCACCAGGCCCTACAAAGTATGTGCTCTTTTCTGCACCAGGGTAAGTGGGGAGCAAAGCAAGGGAGGAACGAAGCAGGGAATGAGCTGGGCTTTGCTTCTCTCAAATTATGGGATAGAGGAGGTTTAGTTGGATAGTGGGGTACTGCCTGAGTATATGCAAGGCCCTGGGTAACACACACACACACACACACACACACACACACACACACACACACACACACACACACACACACACACACACGGCAGGAGGGGGATCGAACAGCCAAGTTTTTCAAACCAGAAGGACAGGTGGATGACAAGGGTGAGTTTAGGTCTCCTTTAGGGAAGATGTGGCACAGATACCTGCAGATTTCAGTTATCAGTCTGTTAAACACAAGCGAGCTTCTCAATGTGGTGGCCTGAATGGAATCCTGAAGGGACAGGAATCCTTAGCTCCGGGCAGAAGACACCATAGCATCTTGAAAAGATCGGTAACTATGAGTCATAGGGCTGGTTTCCAGGCCTGTATATTTTTTTCTTTCTTTTTTCTTTTTTTTTTTTTTTGCCTCATTTTCCTTCTTTGCAGAATGAAGGATGTGGGCTAGAGAGCGCTGAAGTCTCCTCCCAGCCTATGTGGTAATCTTATCTGTCCCAGACTCAGTCACTCTAGTTCAGATCAAAATGCGGTTTGGCCATACCTAGGTTTGGGAGATCTGGGAAGCCAGCATGCAGCCTGGCTCCTCAGGGAGAGGCTGACAGAGGCTGCCAGATTCCTAGACGTGGGACAGCCAAGGCATCTTCCTCTTCCAGATCTCCTTGGAACAACTGTCTGTTCTCCACCCACCCTGAATCTTCTAGTCTGCTCATCTCAAGTTGGTAGCCCTTGAGCAAGGGATGTCATACCAGGACAGAAGAGTGGAAACATTAGAAGATGCCCATGGGGTGTCATAGAAGTGGGTGGGCATGAAGTCTGGCGTCTCTTAGGAAACCGGTCTAACCTTGTCTGCTGCCAGGCAGTTCATTGAGCTCTGGGTTATCCCCTTCCTCATGCTCTCAGAGCCCTGAATTCTTACCAGCTGACCTGACCATTGTGGGGGAGGACAGTTAGGGCAAAGAGTCCAAGCCGGAAGTTGGGACGCCTGAATGTGGTCCTCAGTTTCCTACTCTGTCCATCACATTCACAGACTAACAGAGAAGCGTGTGGAAAAGTCCTCCAGCACTTGTAAGCTGCACACCCTTCTTTGGTTTGTTTGGGGGGAAGGGTAGATCACTGAGGGAGTCAGCAGACCCTCACCCCAGGCATGCCTGTGCTAGCAGAGTGGCTCCTGTGTCCTCAATACAGAACAAAAGAAACAGCTCTGCAGAAGAGTTCTTAGTGACTTCTCCATCGCTGTGAAGAGATACCATAGAAAGAGTTTATTGGGGGCTTGCTCATCATTTCAGAGGGTTACTTCATGACCATTGTGGAGAGGAGCGTGGCAGTGTGCAGGCAGGCATGACGCTGGAGCAGTAACTGACAGCTTACATATTGACACCCAAGCATGAGGCAGAGAAAAACGCTAACTGGGACTGGCTTAGGCTTTTGGAACCTCAAAAACCACCCCCAGTGGTCCACCTCCTCCAACAAGGCCACACCTCCTCCAACAAGGCCACACCTCCTCCAACAACCTTAAAGCTTCAGGCCGTGGGTTAGGAAGACTTCAGGATTTGAGCCACTGAATAAGTTTTCCTCTAATTATTGATCAACACATGTGCATTTGTGTGTGTGTGTGTGCGCGTGTGCATGTGTGTGAACATGTCCGTGTGTGTGCACGCATGGGCTTGTGCATATAGAAGTCAGAGGTTGATATCAGGTGTATTCTTTAATCACTTCTCCACATTATTGGTTTTTATGTGTTTATTTATTTTGAATAGCGGGGGTCTCTCACTAAACCTGGAGCTCACAACATGGCTAGGCTGGCTGGTCAGCAAACCTAAGGAACCTGGCTATGTCTGCTGAGACTATAATCACAATTCACTATACCTGACTTTTCTCATGACTGCTGGGGATCTGAACTCAGGTCCTCGTGCTGTCAAAGCAAGCACTTTACCTATGTAGCCTTCACCCAGTCCCATGATCATTACCATATAGAAATGATTTAAATAAATATAGCCAGATCCGTGGTTCCTATCAGTATTAGACAGGCTTTTCCAACACTTAGTGAGGAGAGTGGCACCCACCCACTTTCCCAGAGCTGCAACTTGCTGCGAGGGGGAAAGATGTGTTAATTCATTGGGGTGATTCATCTTGCCATGGGGTGAATGGCAGGTTGTTCCTAATCACCACTCTCCTGGTGTGTGTCTCCAGGGTCTTGTTGAGCATTTTGGATGGCACGGGGCCTTCTAGAGGCATCTAGACTTTTCCTCCCTCTAGAGAAAAACTGGGCCTGAGCTTGGGTGAGAGAGGGCCAAGCTAACTAGTAGGAGGTGGAGACAGGAACCTTGTCTCCTAGAAAAGACTGAGGGCTTAAGGTGGCCATTGCTCATGGGATAGAGAATGTCTCTGGGATTTGAGAGTAGGTATTGGCCCAAGCTAGTAGGGAGATTGTTTAAAAGAGGGGCCAAGTGACTGGGTGAGGCCAGAGGCCAGCGGTATTTCCTTCAGCTCCAGCCACTCAGGAGGGTGGGACCGGATTGCTCACGCAGGACACAGGAATCTGCCTTTGTTTCCAGCTGGAGGGGAAATGCCACAAATCCTGCCCCTTTCCCTCCCCTCCAGCATCCTTGCCCAGGCTCTGCCCTTCCCAGGACGGGAGGGCCTGGGACTGAGGGCCCTCAGGAAAACTCTTGTCTCCAGGACCCCCAAGCCCATAGGCCTCTGTCTCTTGTTCCCTAGTACAGGTCTGGAGTAAACAGGCTACAGGTAGCTGAATCCAGGTCTGCTCACCTCTCTCTTCCCTGTAGCAGAGCTGCATCTCTGAGCAGTCAGGGAAGCCACCTGGGGTTGAAGGGAAGACGTGAGGACAAACCTTGGGCTTCCCATGAGCACCCCAACTCCTGCTGCTTCACATGGTTACACAGACTGTGCCCCACAGACAATGAAGAGAATGGTGCATGATGCTGGAGGTGCAGATGGGGGTGGGGGTGGGGTGGGTCTGGAATTCCAAGAGCAGGGTGCTGCTTTCTACATCGATGCTTGTGTCCCTGTGTGGCTAAGGGTGTGCACGTGTGCTTTGTGCTTGTATGTGTGTGGCTTGTCTGTGTGTCAATGTCCTGTCTGTGACATTGCAGGTCCCTGTGATCCTGGCAGATAGCATGTCTACATGGGGCAATACTGTGTAAGTATGGCCAAAATTTCTAGAAGTAGATGTTGGTAGGGCCAAGGGCTTCAGAGAGTGGTTAAGCCTTGTTCCCAAGTCCGCCTTTCAGACCCAGGATCTTCCTCCACAATGACGAGTCCTGGCCTCAAAGAACAAAGGCCAGGGGGTTCCAACCACCGCGTGTGTCCTCTGGTGGGGAGCTAGAGAGGAAAGGAGGGCCAGGGCCGGGATTTAGGGTTCAGGGTTTTCTTGACTATTATTGGACAGTAGTGACTCATGGGTATCTTTAGCCATTGCTATGGGGAGAGAAGTCAAAACCCTGTCCTGGTTCCCTGGTATGAGCCTCAGGGGTTCCCATCTGTTCTTCTGTCCTTCTCTCACTTCTGTTGACCCAGCAGGGGTCTCCCATGATGTGTGCAGGCTTTACTGGGGACACTGGCGTTCCTAGAACCTGAGCTGCCTGAGAGGTGGAAGCAGATGACTGAGTCTGTCTGTGCATCGAGGCTCAAATGACCTGGAGCCCAAACACCATTCTTTTCTATGCACATTTATTAAGCTGAGTGACAGCTGGGGATGAGCAGGGCCAAACATGTCTTTACCCCAACAGGAATGAGGGGAGGTTTTCTGGGAGTCCCCCCTAGCCTGGCTTGAAAAACAAAACAACAAAAAATACCATACTAGAACCACAGGAAGCTGCCCATTGTCCCTCTTAGTAGAGGACAGTTGCTTCCCTAGCAGCCACATCTGTGCCTTGTATCCTGGGAAGTGTCTTGTTTTGTATGATCTTTGTGTGATGCTGTGAGACTGAGACACTGGGAAAGACAGGACCAGGGTGGAACTTGGGTCTGTTGATCTCAAAGGTCTCGGCATAGCTAATACGTGGCGTGACAAGAAGCCGTGAGTTTCTTAGCCTCTGCAGACATGAAGGAAGTGTGCATGGCTCAGAGGTAGGGATGAGGCAGGCCACCTGGGCATTAGCAGGGAGGATAACGCTGGTCTCTTTCCACTCAGCATGAAGGATACAGACAGGCTGGAGTCCGAAGCTCTCAAGGGACCAATAAGTCTTGGTCCGAGGAGAACTTTTTGGTGTAGGGCCTAGGACCCAGTCGCCCTGGAGACAGTCAGAGATTGCAGGGACTATTGCGGGGAGGGCTCTTTGTGCAGAAACCACTGTCTAGATCCGGCTCAGACAGGACATACACAGCTAGGGTGACCCCTGAGCAGGTGAGCAGGTTCAAGAAGAAGAAGAAGCCCGGCTGGCTGTGGGTAGAGGTGACATGCTGCAGTGAGATAGAAGGTTTCTATGTCACACAGTCACCACTGGTCATCTGGTGATACTGGGCAAGTCGCTTAGCTGTCACGGCTGTAGTCTCCTCCAGTATAAGGTAGGAAGGCTGTAAAGGCTGAGGATGGCCAGGTGTGAAGCTACACGCCCTGTTGCTATGCATTCCTCTTTTTTGTAGGGTTTTGTCTCTATGTGTATCCACACCACTTGTGTGTCTGGTGCCTACAGAGGTCAGAAGAGGGTGTCAGATCTCCCGAGACTAGAACAGACAACTGTGAGCAGTCATGTGGGTGGTAGGACTTGAACCTGGGCCTTCTGGAAGAGCAGTGAGTACTCTTAACTGCTGAGCCGTGTGTCTAGACCCAAGATTGTTATTCTTGCTTCTGTCTACATACGAGAGCTGTGTGGTTCAGGAGGGTCAAATAACGTACCCAGGGTCCCAAGCCAACTCGTCACAGCATTTTACCACCGTTGCCTAAGCTGTAGATATGGTTTCTCTGCTGGCCACTGCCAAGGCTGGTTTTATGTGCTGTGATTTCAGTGCTGGGTGAGGAAGAAAAGGAGTCTAAGCCCACCCTGGAGGCCCAGAAGCAGCTCAGTCAAGCTCAATTCTTTAACCCCTTTCCTTATACCTACCCTCCTGGCAACACTTAACAGTCTGCAGAACCCTTTCTCCACAACATCCAGTGGCTCTCCTTTCCATAGGTGTGAGTCCTGAAGCAAGAGAAATAAGTGCTTCTTCACGCAGGACCACACAGGTGTGAGGACCACATAGGTGTGAGGACCACACAGGTCTGGAACAGCAGTATTAGTCTGCAGCCCTCTGCAGTTGCCTTCAGAGCACTCTGGGATGAACAGACTCTGACTTTACTAGTTATTTGTGCGTGTGCATGTGTGTGTATGTGTGTGTGTGTGTATGTGTGTGTATGTGTTTGTGTACATGTGTGTATGCATGTGTTCATATTCATGTGAGTGTGTATGCGTGCATGTGTATGTGTGTGTGTTCCTATTCAAAAAGCAGAATAATTTTTGTAATCAAAAGATGTATTAATGATTAAAATGTCAAAAGTCTCTGTGCATAAACCAAAGGATTGGTGTTGAGGTTAACACTGATCCTCCCAGGAGCTGGGTATGACTCCTGCTTGCTGGGTGTGGGCTTCTTACTATAGCCGCTATCCTACCTACAAAAGCCTCTATCCTACCTACAATAGCCTCTATCCTACCTACAATAGCCTCTGTCCTACCTACAGTAGCCTCTATCCTACCTACAATAGCCTCCCTTCAGAGAAGGTAGAAAGTGAGGAAAGAGTTAAGTTCACAGGGGAAACCGGACAGCACCTCAGACAATGGCCAACACCAGCAAGTGACAAGTTGTGTTCACAGGAAACACCTTGGTGCCACCTGATGAGGACTTGACCTCTCTACATCATCTTCCTCCTGAAAACCCCAAACCCAGAGCCCTAGGCTAGTCCTAAAGAAAACCTCAGCCTTGGGCTATAGAGCAAAATGGGATTGGGGAAGAGGAAAGGAAAGGAGAGGAGAGGAGACAAGGGGAGAGGGGAGTGAAGGGGAAAGGGGAGGGGAGGGAAGAGGGGAGGAGAGAGGGGAGGGAAAGAGAGGGGAGGGGAAAGTAGAGAGGAAGAGGATTAGTGGTATCAAATACCCAAAGTTGTCTGGATTGTAGTAACAAGGAATTTTGTCTTGACAGAGAAAGAACCCAGGTGAAAACTGAGGAATTACGAATCAGGTATGGACTTGGGTTAATCATAATAATGACATGATGAGCTCATTTACTGCAACAAAGTAATAATAGGAAATCTGAGGGGTGTATGCACTATTGTCATAAATAGTCTTTCTGGAAACCTAAAAGTGCAGGTTTTTCATGTTTGTTTTTAATGAAACAGGGTCTTTCCATATAGCCTTAGGTGGTCTGGAATTCAGTATGTAGACCAGGCAGGCTTCAAACTCAAAGATTTGCTGCCTCTGCTGGGATGAGTCATGTGCCATCATGCCCAACCAGAATGCAGAGCTTTTGTTATTTGTCTTAATCAAAAGAGTTTTTTAGAACGGTGAAAAGTTTGCCTGGCTGCTCCTGACCAGCCTGTAAGCCCTTTTCTAGAGAAAACATCTGCTTCCTTGTTGGAATACTCCAGAGGGGGAAGTATGGGCTAGTGCTCTGCTGTGGAGGCCATGGCCAGTGGCCAGGTCCCATTCTTGGTCTCTGCCAGTTTCTAACTGTGGAACCCAGCCCCCAGATTATTTTCGTTTGGCATAGAAGGAAAAACTTTCCAGTTGGGAACTTATTTTCTTCTAACCCTGCCACCTTCCTCCCCCATTCCTTGGTTCCACAGTCGTGTATCTCTCTCTTTGATCCATCTCGTTGCTCCACTCACTAAGTAGTTAAATAGCTTTTTTGGTACTCAGGATACCTCTGTAGTAATCTGCATTAGTTACTTTTCTCGTTCGATTCACCAGGGGAAGGCGCAGCAGCAGCTTGAGGCAGCAGGAGTTTACAGCAGTAGGCACACTGGGTCTGCAGTCAGGTAATGGAGGGGTGTCTGCGCTCAGTGTGCCCTCCTTTTCATTCAATTTGGGGTGCCCTTTCGTTGGACGCAGCTCTTCAACTTCAGGTGGCTTTCTCTTTCCCAGTTAAGAGTCTATGAATACCCAGAGGTGTCTTTTGTGTGATTACAAACATGATTACCAGGCTGGAGAGATGGTTCAGTGGTTAAGAGCACTGGCTGTTCTTCCAGAGGTCCTGAGATCAATTCCCAGCAACCTGACTCACAACCATCTGTAATGAGATCTGGTGCCCTCTTCTGGCCTGCAGGGATACACATGGGCATACATGCAGGTAGAACACTGAACACACAATAAATCTTTAAAACACACACACACACACACACACACACACACAAGGCTGGAAGAGATGGCTCAGAGGTTAAGAGCACTGACTGCTTTTCCAGAGGTCCTGAGTTCAATTCCCAGCAACTACATGGTGGCTCACAACCATCTATAATGAGACCTGGTGCCCTCTTTTGACCTGCAGGCAGAACAATGTACACATAATACATAAATCTTTTTAAAAAATTAAAAAAGAGAGAGAGAAAGAAAGAAACCCTGTCTCAAAAAAATATCATGATTACCTGAGGGAGATTTCCTCTTTGACAAAGGGCATGTCATGCATGATTTTCTACCCTTGGTTATTGATACAACTGGAAGATAGACATCACGTGAGAACAGTTTGCTCTCTCCTGCTCTGCTTTATGCCGTATTACACAGAACACAGTGTGTAGGCATTACCACCATAACCACTGTAGCCAGTCCTGCTGGCAGGCCCTGGGTTGCTCTCATTCCCTCCTGAAGACACTGCCATGGACAGCCTTGTACATCCGGTGGGAGCAGGTTTCTGCGGGCAGAGGCACTGGGAAGCAGAAGAGGACCCAGACAGGGATGTGTCTTACTTGCCTCTAGCCTGGCCTAGCCCTCCTCCCCATAGTTGTTTCTTCCTCCTGCTTCTTCCTCTCCTGGTATCTCCAGAGAGGAAGAGCCAGACCTCGCTGCCCTGCAGGCCTGAGTATCAACTCATGCTGGGAAGGGGGAGAGGGTGCCTTGGAAAGGAGGATCTTGGGGATTTGGGACCTGGGACCAGGACTGTCCCTGGACTGCAGCCACTGGGAGAGCATACTCCGAGAGCTCTGGAAGGGGACAAAGACCTGGGGAACAGGGACAGCCTGAGGAGGATGGGGTGCTGGGGGAGGGGGAGGGGCAGCACCCAACAGCTCCGGCACTGACTTGCCTGGAACGCCCAGCATGGGGGGCTGATCGGGGCACAGTGTGTGGCAGGCAGTGGCGAGGAAGGGACTGACCAAGCTGGTGGTGGCAGTCACAAAGTGGTCCAGAACACCCCCTTCCTGCGGGGACTCAGCAAAAGGGAGGCTCAGGGTAGCTTGCAGCCTTTCTAGGAGGGATGGGGCAGACTGGGCCTGGGCCTGGGCCACAAGCTGGGCCAAGGCTGGCCACTCTGGCTGGTACTGCAGGCTGAGCTGCTTCGCCTGGGGCCGCCTCAGCAGCTGCCGGATCTTCCGCACCGTGTCGAAACTGTCGGTCAGAACGGCCCACTCTAAGGCTGTCCTGCCACAGACGGGATCCACTGAACTCAGGTCAGCACCTGCGAGTGGACCGACCCGTGTGACAGGGATTAGGGAGCTGCAGTTTGTACAGGGCACATTCTTCAGCAGCAAGGCTGGCTTGGGCTTCAGCCTTTTGTGTAAGAGACAGGAAGCCACCAAAGTCAGGACAGGGAGACCTGCAGAGAGCTCGTGGGGTCTCCAGCAGGCTCATAGGGCCGTCTAAGCAGAGTGGAGCACAGGCTGCTCAAGCCACAGCTGCCTGGGGAGGTGTGCTCGGTCATTTCACCCTCCCACTTTATTTCTTCTGGGGCCAGAGAGACACAGTCACTTGAAAAGAGAAAGACATGGGGTCCCCTTCCTTCCCTGCTAAACCCACTGGGGTTGAGAAGGGAAAAGCCTCCTCAGAGAGACCAGCAGAGGGCATCCACAGCCACCTGAGGGGGAATAGAAAGGGTCTCCACAGACAGAGTGCTCCCGCAACAAAGGCTCCAGCCACAACCAGGCACTGCCTGAGGGCTGGAATCTGTCCGCACTGCGGCCCCATGGTGGCAGCCTTCACCAGGCTGTGGCCATATTTCTCCACCTGGGTCTCAGGTAGAGACCAGGACTAGAACTCAAGATTCCAGTTTAAGGTGCCGCGCGCGCCCTACACCTTTCCCCATCTTAGGTCTGCATTCTTTGCTGGGACCTCCATAAACAGCTATGGCCAGCCAGGCTTGCACACTGTGCAAAGGCGATAGCGTGCCCCCCCTCCATTGAGTTTGCCTGGATCTGTGTTCTATCCCCCCTCTCTTGCTGCAGCTAAATGGTATCTGGTGGGTGGTCACAGAGGACGCGGAGCCGCACACCTGCCATGAGGAGGGCAGCCACACACTCGGAGCGGTCTCGAATGGCAGCCTTCATCAGAGCTGTGAGCCCCCGCTGGTCCCTGCGCTCCAGGTCCAGACCAGCAAAGTAGTTGAGCAGGAGAGTCACCAGTGGCAGGTGACCTGCACAGAAAGGACCAGACAATGGGACAATAAAGCTTGGCCAGAGAGACTCTTGTACAAAGTTTGGGGCTGTGGCCCTGATGGCTGAGAGCAGGGGTGAGGTGGGGTGGGGGGATGAGGGTGGGAGTGCTGGTGGGGATAGGTCTTGCACCTGCTTGAGCAGCCAGCATGAGGGCCGTGTTTCCGTCTTTGTCCTGCTGATTCACATCCAGGAACGGACAGCAGCTGAGAAGGGCCACAATGGCACCAAACCCACGGTAACACGCAACCATGAGGCCTGTCTGCGGACAGACAAGCTTGGACCCCACTTTCCACTAAGTTCTCCTTAGCACCCACTCCCCCTGCCATCTAAATCTGCACCTTCCCAGTCCCTGTGCCAACACCCCCCCCCCACGGTTCTCACCCATCTAAAGAGTGGGAGCGGCCTCTGGAACTCTTTGGGGAGCCAGACAGGGAAGTTGCAGTGGGGGAGGGGGCTGAGCTGTTCCCAGCTGCCCTGCTAAGTCCTTGGGCATCTCACCCTCCCATTGCTATCCACTTGGGAAGCCTCCTCTGGGGATACCCCGGCATCCAGCCTGGCTTGGAGCTCAGCAGGGTCATTGTGGACACAGGCCCAAAACAGGTTCTTCAGATTGCAGAGAGGGGTAGGGGTCTCCTTGCTGGGGCAGGACATTGTCTCAGACATGTCCAACCATTCCCGGGTCAATGGTGGCTCCTCTGCTTCCAGTCTGGGGCAGAAAGGTGAGTCCCTCTTCAGTCGGCTGGCAGCTGTGACAGAATGTAGAGGGACAGTTTCTCCTGCCATCCTGGGCAGATGTCCCTGCAGCTGCACCTGTCACTCTGGGGAAAAGCCTTCATCCTGATGGGTGTCTCGCCCCCGACTGGACACAAGACAGGCAGCCAAGGCTTCTTACTGTAGGTCAGGTTCCCAAGGAGGCTCATGACTGGGGTTATCATTTTCCCCTCCCCCAGCCTTACCTGGAGTTCTAGGGTCTTCAAAAGACCATCACGGCAGGCAGAGCTGTGGCTCGGAGCACCCTTGCATATCCAAAAACACACTAGCCCTTCAATGGAATTGCCAAGAGACTGTCACCAGGAAACAGGGCAGGTGACAGATGGCAGTTCCTGAAGAAAGCTGCCATAAACACATTGGTGCTGAGCTGGGTCAAGCGGGTTAGGAAGGGATTGGGGGCCTGGAAGGGGCGGTTGTCCTGTCTGCCGCTGCCCCTTCCCGGCTCTAAGATCCCACTAGACCTGGCTGGTGGTGACTTCTCCAGGGCCACAGCAGAGTGGATCCACCTGGGCTAATTGTTCTCACCTTCATCATGGACGTTAGCTGCTCTTGAAGCGGTTTGCAGAGGAAGCATTCTAAGGGTCTGTGATTCCCTCCACTTCAGTGGAGTTGATTTGGGGAAGAGGCCACAGTTGTGGTGTGGGGGAAGACAGGAGTATTAAGTAAGCATGAATAGGGAGGTGGGCCCCAGGATTTACTCAAGGAAATCAAAACATAAAGGATCGTCAGAAGGCTGGAGAAGTGGCTCAGAAGTTAAGAGCACTCTTCCAAGAGGCTGTGGTTCAGGTCCTAGCACCTAGTGGGCAGCTTGTAGGTGTCTGTAACTCCAGTGCCTGGAATCTAATGTCCTCTTCTGGTTTCTGTAGGTAACTGCACTCACAGGCTTACACACTACCAAAATACCTATAGGGAGAAACATTAAAATAAAAATAAGTTTTAAAAAAGAAATTTCGCCGGGCGGTGGTGGCGCACGCCTTCAATTCCAGCACTCAGGAGGCAGAGGCAAATGGATCTCTGTGAATTTGAGGCCAGCCTGGTCTACAAGAGCAAGTTCCAGGGCAGCCTCCAAAATAATACAGAGAAACCCTGTCTTGAAAAAACAAAACAAAAAACAAAAAAAAAGAAAGAAATTTCAAATTAGGGTTATAGAAATTATGATGTGTTAAATCTAATGGATCACATTTGAAATGGTAAGTAAAACATGACATATTTAAATGACGTTAAAGTAATAATAGATCTGTACTGTCGTTTTTGGAATTAATAAGTTGAATGACTTAGAGCTCAGACTGTAGCACTCTCCACACTGGGGGACTTTGCTTTCTGGCTTCATATTGTTTTCCCCTGACATTTGGTTCCTGCAACTTTCTCCTCCTCTCTTTACCCGTTGGGGCTAATATAATAATCATAGAACATATACATTTTATTTAAAATGTGATTTATGGGCTGGGCGGTGGTGGCACATGCCTTTAATCCCAGCACTCGGGAGGCAGAAACAGGTAGATCTCTAAGGCCAGCCTGGTCTACAGAGTGAGTTCCAGGACAGGCTCCAAAGTTACAAAGAAACCCTGTCTCAAATAAAAAACAAAACAAAACAAAACAAAAAATGTGATTTGTGTTTGTTATTGTTTGATTTCTTGTATTTGCTTTATTGGTCTTTTGTTTGTCTTGAGAAAGTCTCTTATGTAGCCCAGGCTGGCCTTAAGTTTACTGAGATCCACCTGCCTCTGCCTTCCAAGTGCTGGAATTAAAGGCATGCGCCACCGCCTAGCGATTTAAACAGGTTTCTAATTATGCTAGATCACTTCTTGTTTGTTTTTCACCCTACCCTGTGATTTAAAGACCTGTCCTCGTGAGGTTTCGTGCAATTAGGAGCTTGAAGGGGGGTGGCGGTGGGACTGACCTGGATGGTGGGGCTTCTGTCTGGGGTGGTCCCTGTTTGGGCCTTGATCCAAAGCTCCTGTGGTCGTTCTCCCAAACTGCTAAGTCAGCACTTCCCAGCCTCCCGGAGCTGTGTTGGTAAATTTGGAGCAGAGTTATGTAGCACAGGACACCGGCTTTCTGAGACAGACCGTGGCAGCACAGGCGGGCGCTGCGAGCAGCTCCCTGATTTGCCAGCTTCCTGTAGTACCCACTGTGGATTTCTCAATCACTTTTGGGCAGAGGTCATGTGACTGCCCAAGTTGGCGGGTGTTTCAGACCTGCAGCCGGCGTTTCCAGCCCTTTCTGCTTGAACTAGCCAGTTGTATTTTTGCTGTCTGTCACTGCACTCTAACGGATACGGGTGGCTTAGCAAAGAGAGTTTTATTTTTCACAGGAAAAAAATATTCAGGAATAGCAAGCTGTTGGCATTGGATAAGGGAACTGATGGTGCCGGAGCCTTGTCTGGAATTCTCCTACTTTTCTCTTAGTCACAATATGGCTGCTCTACCCCAAAGCATCAGAGTGAAATGTGGTGAATGTGGAATTCTATGCAGTACTTAGCAGATGTCTATGAGATTGTAGGCCAGACATCTCTGCCACGTCTCCTAGCCATAGCTTCCTTTTTCTCCAGTCACCTCTGAGCTGTGTCTGATTGCGTAATGAAGGCTTGGCGGGGGAACTGCCAGCAGAAATATAGTGGATGGGAACTCTTTGCTATCTTGATACAAGACATCAGGGGGCGTCTTTATCCTGCCCCCACTCTCCCCATGTCTTCCTTCTCACTTAGCTTTCCTGTTCCTCCAGAGGTGGGTTAAGGAAGGTACCCTTTGGCTCGAAGTTCTAGGGCACAATTCATCACAGCGGAATCTGGAAGCAGGACGGTGAGTGGCTGGTCACACTGAGTCTGCCGCAGGAAGCCAAGAAGGGTGACCGCTCACATGTGCCTTGTTTTCTCCTCTTTATTTGGTTCAAGACCCCCAGCACAGGGGATGAGGATACACGTAGTGAAGATGAGTCTTCCACACAACTAATGTGCCTTAGACAATCCCTCCTAGCAGGTCTTTAGGCACATCTCCTGTGAGTCTAGAGCCTGTGAAGTTGGTAATATTAATCCTCACCGTGCCCTGGGTGGCTGGCAGCTTCTTGCTGATTGCAAACAATGTTCCAGTGGACACCCTTGGATTCATCTAACTCTGGATGTGCTGGTCCTTGGAGCACACACCAGCTTATGGACCAGATCTTGCGATGCTGTTCTGCTTTTCAAGGTTCCCACCTGCAATGACTTCCCTCTATACCCCCAAAGACTCGAACTGTTCACTTCACATTTCCATCGATGTGACAGACTGAACTAAGCATCCACATCCCCATTTGATGTGGAATGTCTTGTTATCTCCAAGATGAGGCTCTCTCCTCCCATCTGACAATCACTGTTGCTACCACTGCTGGGATTTGCCTACTTGTGGTCTTTGCCAGCATGAGTGTGGGGGGCATGGTTCGTGTTCCCACTGATTCTTTGAAAATTCTTTTAATTTCACAGACAATAAATCTTTTAGATGTGACTACCATACTATAATCCAACAGTGACCTCCATTTAAAGAAAGTCTGAGTTTTGATATGGTTAAACTCTTCAAAAATTCTCCTTATACTTTTTGTTTTAGTATCTTGTCTAAGGAAATTTTACTCTTACAAAAGATCTTCATTCTTTCATCTTTGCCTGCTACACATCTATTCGAGGATTAATATGTAGAATCTATAAAGAACTCAACAATTAAATACACAAAATCTGAGTCAACCAATCAGTAGGTGGGTGAATAAATTCATGGGCAGTTCTCAAAAGAAAACCACAAATGGTCAAAAATACATGGGAAAATATTCTGACACCCTCAGCCATCAGAGAAATTTGAGCTAAACCTACACCTCACTCCTGTCAGAACAGCAGAGGCAGGTGGATCCCTGAGTGCGAGGCCAGCTTGGTCTACAGAGTGAGTTCCAGGACAGCCAAGGCTATATAGAAAAACCCTGTCTTGAAAAACAGAAAACAAGAAAGAAAGAAAATAAGTACGTAAATAACAATAAATACTAGCCAGATGTGAGAAAGAGGACCCTCATTCACAGCTATGGGAATGTGAATTAGTGTAGTCATTATGGTGAACAAATATGTGGGTTCCTAAAAAACAAAACACAACAAAACAAAACCCTAAGACTGAAACACTCACAGAACCCAGCTACACCGCTCCTGGGCACATATCAGAGTCAGAATGCCTAGAGACCCATGTTTACCGGGAAGCTGTTCACAATGGCCAAGATATGAAGCCAGCCTTGATGTCCATCACAGATGAATGGATAAAGCAAATGTGGTTCACATTCACGATGGAGTTTTACTCAGCCATAAAGAAAGAAATTATGTTAATTTGGGAAAATGGACGCAACTGAGACTATGTTAAGTGAAATAACCCAGATTTAGACAACTATCAGGTGTTTCTTTTTCCTCATGTGTGGAATCTATAGTCAATAAAGATTACATGAAATGAGGGCTGGAGAGATGGCTCAGAGGTTAAGAGCACTAGCTGCTCTTCCAGAGGTCCTAAGTTCAATTCCCAGCACCCACATGGCAACTCACAATTGTCTGAACTTCAGATCGAGCACCCTCACACAGACAGACATACATGCAGGCAAAACACCAATGCACATAAAAATAAAAGTAAATAAGTCCTTTAAAAAAAAAGAAAGAAACATTTACTCCCAGGACCCAGTCCAGGGATTCTTGGGGTAGATAGGGGCACAGCCTGCGCAGTAGGATTTCCAAATTCTCCCTGAGTGGTTCTAACAGAGGCTACGGTTGGGGCCCCTGCCCAGAACAGCGCTCATTAAACTGGGCTGGGAGACGGGAGTGAAAAGTCGGCTTCATTGTTTGTGTTTTAAATTTGGGTAACGTTGAGTTGGTGGCTAATGGTTAAAAAGAGAAAAGATTCAGAATGATTCTCTTACGTCTTCCTCCTCGCCTCTGCTCGCCAACCTCTCTGGCAGCACATGGAGTTTGTCATTCCTTCATTCCTTTGTATCATCTAGTTCATTCATCCGGTTTTTATTTGTTTATATTTTTCCATTTCTGGGGTTGGAGGTTAAACCCAGGGCCTCATGCATGCTGAGCATACTTGGTCCAGCTAAACCACACTGCCTGCATGTTCATTGAAAACCACGTGGCATATGCCTTAAATCCCAGCAGGTGGATTTCTGTGAGTTCAAGGCCTCCTGGCCAACAGAGTGAGTTTTTTGAAGCCCTGTCTCAAAAAAACAAAAACATGAAAAGAAAGACAGACAGAAAACCACAACTCTTTGCTCTTCTCAATGCTAGCTATCATTAATCATGTCCTTGGTTCTTTTTCTCACCTTGGACATCTGCCACCTTTGTCCGGTGGTGTTACCCATCCAGCAGACAGGAACTCCCTGCCCATTTCTCCTAGGCCTGAAGAGGATTGAGTGCATGCAAGTGGACAAGGGAACTTCAGCCTGGGCTGAGATGCTTCGGGGACACGTACCTAATGAAAGGACATTTGCTTTTTATTTCTGTTCCATGGGATCGACAACCCCTGCCTCCAGGAAGCATCCTGTTTCTGTAAGGCCACGTTCAGCCACCAGGGGGCAGGGGTGAGCAGGACTTGTCAGTGCCTTCCAGATCAGCGGCAGAGGGCCCTGAGGTTGGCAAGGTGCACCGGAGGAGGGTGGTGGTCGTCCATCTTTGCCCTAAAGCACAAAGATCAAGTGAGTTATTTCCATGAATCAGATTTAGCCAGCCTAGCTGTATACCTAGAGGTTGGTGTCAACTATGTCCTGTCCAGGTTTCCTTCCTCAGTCAAGTGGCATGCTGGCCATGCCCCTACCAGAGATGGGTGGGGTTGCTGGTCAGTGGGTAAATGGATAACACTCCAGGCCATGCGTGTTCATTTCAACCAGTTACGGTGTTTCTGTATGGTGGCTTGGGAGGATCCAGAGTGTATGAGTGGCTGGGCAGTGGTGGCACCCACTTTTAACCCCAGCACTCAGGAGGCAGAGGCAGGCGGATCTCGGTGAGTTCAGGTCAGCCTGGTCTACAGAATGAGTTCCAGGACAGCTATCAAAGCCACAAAGCTATTCTTTCCGTTGGGAGTTCACTTTACTTTCCACGCCAGATTTTTGTTTTCGAGAATGCCATCATATATTGAGAAAAAAAAAAGCCACCGAGGGCCAGGGTCGATCCTTGTCATGTCTGTGATTCCCAGCTCTCAGAAGGCTGAAGCAGGAGGGCTGCTGTGAGTTCAAAGATGCCTGGGTTACAGAGGGAGATGACTTCTCCTTCTTCATCTTCCTCTCTCTTTGATTTTAATTTAAAAGATTTTTTAGATTTATTGACTGTTTTATGTGCATGAGTGTTCTACCTGCATGTATATGTGTGTACCTCATGTGTGTCTGCTGTCTGTGGAGCTGGACAGCTGTGAGTCATTATGCAGGTGCTCGGAACCAAACTCAGATACTCTGAAAGAGCACCATGTGCTCCTAACCACTGAGCCATGTCTTCAGCCCTAAGACTCTGTCTCTTTAAAAACAAATGTGTGTGTGTGTGTGTGTGCACGTGCGCTCCACATGTATGTGTGGGTACCTATGGAAGTCAGAGAGGGTGTTGGATCCCCTGGAGTTACAGGTGTGAGCAACCCAACATGGGTGGTGGCATTGGAACTTGGGCTCTCTGAAAAAGCAGCAGGTGCTCTTAACGGCTAAACTACCCCTCTGCTACTGTCTCACATACTTTCCAAAACCAGGCTGGGAGGGTAGCTCCATGGCACAGTACTTGCTCAGTAAGTATAACACCCTGGGTTCCATCCCCAACCTGAGAGAGAGAGAGAGAGAGAGAGAGAGAGAGAGAGAGAGAGAGAGAGAGAGAGAGAGAGAGAGTTCAGTGTCTTCTTTCTCGTTACCCCCATTTCTCTGACATCTCTCACCACACTGACTCTTTCTACCTCTCTAACCATTCTAATCTCCCCGGAGGAGGCTTGCCTGTCTGCACCCTTCCTCTGGCCTGGGATGCTCTCAAGTGTCTGCCTGTGGGATTCAATCAAAAGAGGAAGAGGATGCTTGGGGACTGTAGAAGGTGCCGAGGAAGCAGTTGAGTGTGGTTTTGGAACACAGGCTCCATCAAACAACCAAACTTGTCTTTTTCTCTCTTCCAAGGACTTTTCCCAGGGGCAGCCCATAGTCAGACTTGATGTCACCAGTCAGTACAAAAATGGTCTCACACAGTTTAAATATTAGGCAAAGGATGGGACCCAGCAGGGCGGGGCAGAGAATGGAGGAGATGGCCTCTGACCCCAGCTCTGGCCCCTTCTGGGGGTCCAGTGTGATCTGCCATAGGTCATGCCCCCTACTCCCCAACCGTGATCTACATCACAATGCCGACAGCTCATAACTCAGAGCTGGCAGGGAAGTCTGGGATTGATTTAGGGCTGGCTCTGATCAGCTCACCCTCCATGGACGATGGCCCTGGGGTGTGGACAGGAACAAGGGTCATGGGTGAAGTTCAGGGAGGAAAGGTCCTCACCACCACTGTGACAAGCGCTTCGGCACTCCTCATGGACCAGACACTTTCCAGGCTCTCCCGATCCTCTGATTGGCTCAAGCCCAAGCTGGTGAGCAGTCTCGGGCAGTATCTTCAGTACCAGGGATCTTATGAAGCAAGCCCAAGCTGGTGGGCAGTCTCGGGCAGTGTCTTCAGTACCAGGGATCTTATGAAGCAAAAGGACTCATTGCCCACCAAAAGAGCAGTCAAGAGATCCTTTAACCCCTTCACAGGGCCAACAACCTCACTTAGACTGAGCTGCTGGGTCCCCAGCATGAGTGCCAGACACTGCAGCTCCTTCCCTTAAGCAGGCAGAGCAGAGACCATTCTTCTGTGACATCTATAGAGAATGTTGACTGGATACAAAGTATCAGAGGCCAGTCACCCAGATATATAGTAAACCATGGTGTAATAAGTAAAGAAAGGTATATAAAAATAGGGAAAGATAAAAGCCCAGAGGCAAAAGGTAGATGGGATCATTTAAGCTAAGAAAGGCTGGCTAGAAACAAGCCAAGCTAAGGCCAGGCATCCATAAGAAAGAATAAGCCTCCTTTATTTGGGAGCTGGGTAGTAGGAACCCCCCAAGAAAGAGTAAGAGTAAAAACTAAAAAACCAACAACATTCACTCTTAACTGCTGAGTCATCTCTTCAGCTCATAGCAAGTGACTATTAAATTTCTATTCTTGGTGCTGGGCTCAGCAGTTAAGAGCACTGGTTGTTCTTCCGAAGACCTGGGTTCGACTCTCAGCAAGCACATGGTGGCTTACAACCATTTCTAACTCCAGTTCCAGGGAATCTGATGCCCTCTTCTGGCCTCTGTGGGCACCAGGCATACACATGTGATGCACAGACATACATGTAGACAAAACACCCACATACATAAAATAAAAGTAAATTAATTAAAATAAAATAAAAATCAACCCCAAAAGTCCCTCTCTTTTTTTTGTAAGAAAATAATTTTATGAACAACTAGGGAGCTGGCAATTATTAATCTATATTAAGTAGCCTTTACATTTTCAGAAATTCACACCTTTGTGTTTCTTTTTTTTTCTTTTCTTTTTTTCAGACAGGGTTTTTCTGTGTAGCCCTGGCTGTCCTGGAACCAGACTGGCCTCAAACTCACAGAGATTTGCCTGCCTCTGCCTCCCTAGTACTGGAATTAAAGTCTTGCATGTAGACATATGTGGAAACCAGAAGTCAGTCTCAAATGTTCCTCGGGTATTGTCCGCCTTATTTTTTGAGACAGAATCTCTCTCTTTGCCATGGAACTCACCACCAAGCAGGAAGCTGGCTTGCATGGGAGCCCTAGGATCTGCCTGTCTTCTCCCAGCTTTGGGATTACTAACTCACATCACCAGGCCTGGCCTTTTCTCCCAGGTTCTGGAGATTGAAGAAGCTACCTTCTCATTCTTGTGGAGTAAGCACTTTGCTCTTCCTTCACCTCCTAATTTTATTTTTTTAATTAATTTACAAAGTAACAGGTTTCTACCGGGCAGTGGTAGCCCATGCCTTTGATTCCAGCATTCTGGAGGCAGAGGCAGGTGGCTCTCTGTGAGTTCGAGACCAGCCTGATCTACAAGAGTGAGTTCCAGGACGGCCTTCAAATTCACAGAGAAACCCTGTCTCAAAACAAAACAAACAAACAAACAAAACAAAACAAAAAAACCCAGAGCAAAACAAAAAACCAAAGTAACAGGTTTCCTTATGGCATTTTCATAGATATTTAGCTTTGGTTCATCTTCGCACACCTTATTTTTTATTTTTAAGATAGGGTTTTAGCCAGGCGTTGGTGGCGCATGCCTTTAATCCCAGCACTCGGGAGGCAGAGGCAGGCGGATCTCTGTGAGTTCGAGGCCAGCCTGGTCTACAAAGTGAGTTCCAGGACAGCCTCCAAAGCCACAGAGAAACCCTGTCTCGAAAAACCAAAAAAAAAAAAACAAAAAAAAGATAGGGTTTTACTATGTAGCTGGCATGGAACACACAAGCTCCCTATTCCTAGCCTCCTGAGTCTTGGTATTTTAGGCATGAGCCACCAGGCCTTGCTTAATGCCCATTTGACAGACACAAAAATTCACTCAACTTCAGAAAAGCCAGCGATAAAGACAAGGCAAGACTTTTCATGGACCCATTTGGCGGACGAGGACACAAGGCTGATGGTGCAGGCTGACATCACCTGGTGGGTGAGTGACATCAATGGCAATCAAGTCACATCTTTCACATGCCTGTCCTCGGTGTCCTATGGCTTCTCCCTCCCTCTCCTCAGCAGCCCTCCACCTTGAGTTCATTGTGAAGGCCACCCCTTTCCGAGAGGAAAGGGCAGGGACAAGCAGCTGAGTAATTCTGCTTTCTGTGTCATCTGTTAACACGGCATACCATCTGTCAGGTCTACTGCCCTCAGCGTCCCACCCTCTCCCTGAGGCCAGAGTGGGGGAGGGGGCCATCTCCTAGAGTCACAGTTTTGGGGGCCCTCCCATTCCCAGCCTCAGAATACCCACAGAAAGCTAACTTTCCTGTGTGGACTAACACAGGTGAGCTGGAGTTACAGAGGACACAGGGCAGTGGCAGGGGAGATGGGGGTGGGGGGGGACACGGGGGAGAGATGGGAGGTGGAAAGACAGGCAGTGTGATTCACCTCAGGGAGGCTACAGAAGTGTAGCTGGGTGCTGGTTCCAGCAGAAAGTCCCAGAAGCCAGTCCGTTGGAACGGCTGGGAGTCATGGCCACTCAGTCTCAGTCCATTCTACAAGGGCTGTGGGTGTGGCTGGCTTTTAATTAGCCTCTGACTTCTTGTTTCCCCAGCCCCCTCTCCCACTACACCCCCCCCCCCCAGAAGGCCTTTGTGCAAGACAATAAAGAATCTATAAATTCTGGGGACAGGACTGTGGGGGAGGGGAACAAGCCACTTCAGTGCCTCCTACCCGACCAGGGCCTGCAAAGATGGAAAGGGACAGTCAGGCAGGGCTTTCGTGGACTTTTGCCTTCAGTCACCTACACAGGCGCCTGCCTGCTCAAAAATGTGGTCCAGGTCTCAGCACCAGGTTTTACAGATCAAGAAACTGAGGCCCGGGGCTGGAGGGAAGACTTGGTCAACAAAGTGTCTACTGCAAAGGTGTGAGGACCTGAGTTTGTAGTGTACCTGTAAGCCACCACTCCATGGGTAAAGGTGCTTGCACAAGTCTGAGGACCTGAGTTCAATCCCTAGAATCCACACAGAGATGGAAGGAGAGGACCTCTAGCTAGCTGGTAGCACACCCACAGTAAGAAAACAAAGAAATAAACGTGAAGAAGCAGGTGTGGCTCTGCAACATCGTAATCCTAGCACTGGGCACGGTGGGGATAGACACAGGCAGATCCTGGGAGGTTGTTGGCCAGCCAGGCAATGAGCTCTGGGTTCAGTGAGAGACATTGTGTTTAAAAAATATTAATAAGGTGGCCAGGCATAGTGGGCGGTACCCAAACTCAGTCTCTGGCCTTTGCACGCATGCATGCACACACAGGTGTACACCCACACTAAATATACCAAGAAAAGAAAGGAACAAAAAAATAACAGAACCCGAGTCTGGAACTGGGCTGGGTCTCTTCGTCCCCAACGCACCTGGATTTGGGATTTGTTTGTTTTCCCCTCCTTTTGTTGCTCTATTTTTTCCTTGTTTTTGGGGTGAGGACACAAACCATGGTGGTCATGTAGAAGTCAGGAAAATGTGCTGGAATTGCTTCTGCCCTTCCTCACGAGGATCCCTGGGATCAAACACAGGTCATCAGGCTCTGTGCAAAGTGTCCTTACCCTCTGAGCCCTCTTGACAGCCCACACCAGGACGACAGCCCACATCGATCGGCTACAGCTATTTTTACATGGAGTTTGGAATCAATATCAGGTGAGGAAGATACTGAGCTAGCTCCTCGGCCTTGCTCTTTATTCTTTTGTTGTTGTTTTGATTTTTAATTATTATTTTATGTGTTTTGTATGTCTGTGTGAGGGTGCCAGAGTCCCTGGATCTGGAGTTACAGTTGTGAGCTACCATGTGGGTGCTGGGAATTGAACCTGGGTCCTCTGAAAGAGTAGTCAGTGCTCTTAACCACTGAGAAAGCCCTCCAGCTCATTGTTTTGGTCTTTTGAGACAGGGTTTCATTCTGTAGCTCTGGATGGCCTGGAACTGGCTATGTAGAAAAGGTTGGCCTTGAACTTACAGAGATCTGCCTAATTCTGCTTCCCAATTTGGATTAAAGATCACCATGCCCAGTCTTTCTCTTTCTAAATAAAATTTTCTTGGTTTTTTTGAGATTATAGTATAATTATACAATTTCTCTCTTTCCTCCCTCTGACCCTTCTCATGTACCCCTTCCTTCATGGTCTCTTTTCTAATTGTCTTTACGTGTGTGTGTGTGTGTGTGTGTGTGTGTGTGTGTGTGTGTGTGTGTATTTCTAAATATATAGACACAGCCTGCTTGGTCCATATAACATTACTAGCATGTATCTGTTTTCAGGGCTGACCATTTGGTACTGGATAATCAATCGGTGTGCCTTTCCCTGGAGAAGACTATTTCTCCTGCTCCCAGCATTCCTTGGCTGCCCGTAGTTCCCTGTCTTGGGTTGAGACCTCATGAACTTTGCCCATCCCAATAGCATGTCTATTGCTGTCCTTGTCCAGCTCATGTCTGGTCAGTCACATTGGTGAGATTCTATGGTGTAGCTCCTGACAATACTAAGAGACACAATCTCACAGCACACTCCCTGATCCTCTGGCTCTCATACTTTTTTTTACTCCCTCTTCTGCAAGGTTTGCTGAGCCTCAGGTGCAGGAGCTCCATTGTAGATGGCTGGGACTGGGCTCCACAACTCTGCGTTTTAACTCGTGTGGTTTTCTCTAATGACCTCCATCTGTTGCAAAGAGAAGTTTCTTGATGAGAGCTGAGGACTTACTGATCTACAAGTGTAAAGACAAATAATTAGAATGTAGTTAGGGATTATGCTGGTTCTCCTCCAAGACTCCTGATTTCACTAGCCCTAGGTAGTCAGCGGATTTCCAGCACCAGGCCTCACTTCCCTCTTGTTGAGTGGGCCTTGGGTCCAATTAGAGAGTTGTTGGTTACTCCCAAGGCAGGCATGCCATTATTGCCCCCTCAGAGCTGTTGTGCCCTACCCAGCTCTTTACTCCCCCAACTCCCAGTTTCTCTGTGTAGCCCTGGCTGACCTGGAACTTACTCTGTAGGCCAGACTGGTCCCAAACTCAGAAATCTGCCTGCCTCTGAATTCTATAAAGAACATGGGAGAAGAAGGCTTGCTCTCTCTTTTACTGCTACCTCTTGTTAGCTAGTCCATTCCTTCACTAGGATTAGAGCCTACATCTTTGGGATTCTGGAATATACTGAAGACCAGATGAGACATTCAGCCTCATGGACTGAACAGCTAGATTCTGGATTCTGGATTCTTGGACCTTCTGATGGTAGACAGCCGTTGTTGGACTAGATAGACCACTGCTTGAATATATATATATATATTATTTATTGTACATAATATTATGTATGTGTGTGTGTGCATGTGTGTGTACGTGTTCCTCTGGAACAGTAGTTCTTAACTTGTGTTTCAACCCCTTTGGAAAGTCAAATGACCCTTTCACAGGGGTTACCAAAGACTGTTGGAAAATACAGATATTTTCATGATGATTCATAACAGTAGCAAAATTACAGTTATGAGGAAGCAACAAAATAATTTTATGGCTGGGGTCACCACAACATGAGGAATTGTATTACAGGGTCACAGTGTCAGGAAGATTTGAGATCTACTG